CGCCGCCGCGCTTCCCAAGCGGCGCACTATCCAGTGCGCCACCGGGCCGGCCCCCTCCTTCTTATTTTTAATGATTTCTCTCTTTAAAAAAAAAAAATCTTTGCCCATCGTCACTTATTAGAAAGGTCATTGAGAGATGATGGTAACCTGGACTAGGAGAATATATTATATTGGATGCAAAGATGAGATTGACTTTCCATATGGCAGCAGCAATGGTGAGCTGTTTAGACTCCAAACAAATCAGGTCATTCCCATGCTAAAATCCATCCAACAGCTTCTCATAGCACTTAGAAGAAAATCAATACGCCTTATCCTGGTCACAAGGAAATCCCTGTACAAATAAAACCAGTTCCTGCCTCACCATCCTGTCTTATTCTGCTCTCCCCACTTTTTCTGTGTGTGCAGCAACCCTGACTGTCTCTTCTGTTTCTTGAACATCCCTGCTTCAGGGCCACATGAAATCTGCTTTCTGTCTAGAATGTTCTTCCTCCAGATCTTTCTATGCCTAACTTCTGCATATCATTTAGCTCTTACCTTAAATGCAACCTCCTAGGTGGGAAGAATAAGTTATGGTGTTCTAGGCTGACTATAGCTAGTAATATTGTATTGCATATTTCTAAATAGCTAGGAAAGAGGACCTTGAACATAATCACCACAAAGGACAGATAAATGTTTAGGTGATGGATATGCTATCTACCCTAAGTGAATCACTGTACAATCTATGCATATATTGAAACAACACACTGTACCCCACAAATATGTACAACTAAAATAAAATGTTACCTCCTGAAATAGATACCCAGTCCTTCTTTGGGAATCCACATATTTTATTTCTCGGAATCAACCTATTTCATTTCTCAGCATGATATGTCACTTTCTGGTACTTTTCTTCCTTATTCTCATTTATTTGTTCATACCCTTATAAATGACCATCAGCAACACTAATGTGTAAGCCCAATTAAGGAAGAGACTGGACTGTGTTGTTTGCTGCTGTATCTCCAGCACCTATAACAATGCCCAACGGGACGGGTGCTGCAGATGGTTGCATAGTCTGCACTGCACAAGGTGCCTGATCTAGGAGGTGAGTGAGAGCCCTGTCAGCTAAGTTCTACACCAGGACAGGTGACTTTCACTAATTTTCTTCCAAGAAAACATACCCCCCTCCTTTCCTAATTTGCCCACAGGTACTGAATAGGCCGGCAATGTTGCTCTCTGGTACTCAGTAGGCAATCAACAAAACCTGCTTATTCAAAGGAAATCTGTTTGACTCCTGTCTGCCACTTATGAACTATGTGATTTTGAACAAGTCATTTATGTTCCTCTTAAAATTCAAATGAAATAACGAACATGATGCCACTTCAGAAAGTAGTGTGTCTATGTAAGATATTACTAAGATCGTGACATAATTAATAGTAACCAATATGTTTTGTATTGTATGACAAACAACAGATAAGAACTGATAGTTCATAGTGCTCAGTATGATCTATTGAAAAACAACAATGTGGTTACCCAGTCAGTTCTACTTTCATGAAAAAACATCATTAGTCAACTCACACATGCTGCATGGCATCTTCAAATAAAACTAAGTGCATGGCAGCATTTAGTTCATTGTAGTTGTCTAAAGTTTCTGTAAGAATCGTCTTCAGCACTTCCCAGTCCTTCACTGGCATGTAACGTGGGTCTTCTCCCCCATTAGCAAAGTGGCAATAAATGAGGGGCTGTTGAAGCAGCACATGACTGTCTATACCCTGCAGGATGAGGAAGAGAAAATACGGTATGTCAACTACCCAGAAAGACTCATCTGGGCAGACCTGCCTATCAAGAGAAAAGCTTGCAGATCCATCCGTGAGTAGGTGGGCGGGATGTTCCTAAGTACAGACCAAGTGTATTCTGGAATCATAGCTGTTGCCCAAAGGTAAGCCTCTGTGCAATTCGCTCACATTCTTATCTAACTTTGGCCGCAACACCAATTGGTGCCAGAGCAAACGGTGACCTTTGATATCGATACACTTACTTCAAAATACTTATGAGCAGTTTCCAGCATTTTTTTCTGAAACAAATCATAATCTTTTGTGTCTATCAGTTTGTCTGCATAAACACGAGAAGATTCATGAAGCCACAGGCGTATTAAATCATTTGAATCTTTTAAACATTCAGGAGAAGCAAATAAAATCCCCTACAAAGGAAGAATGGGAAATATACCTTTAATTCAGAAGCTCATGACATTCCAAATAAGTTTTTTTCTAACATTTTTTAACTGCATACTGAATGTAGCAGTTCAAGTTAAAAGATTTATAAATAGTAGAGTGTGCGTGCACACGCATGTGTATAAAAGTAGCTTAACCATCTGATAAGCAACATTTAGACAATGTAATATCATTACACTCATTTTTAGAATGCAACTAAGTGTGTATTTCAAGAGCCGGCCCAGGAACTAAATACCACAACTGAGTACTTGTGCTTATTAATTCTTCCAATGATTAAGTTGACAAAACTAAAGTACAGTTAACGTGGAAGACACAGAATCATATTTTTTTAAAACTCTAAAATCCCTTTATATTAGTCTAACTCCTCCACTTCACAGATGAAGAATATGAGACCAAAAATAAACTGCCCAAATTCATACTTTGTGAATAGATCTGGGACTAGCACCAAAACATTTTGATTCCATGCCTGCTCAGCTCTGCCCTTCAATGTCTTGGATTCATATAGACCCACTCCTCATGGAGAGGGTCAGCTTGCTCTGGACTCATAGGAGAACACCAGGGGGGTTGTGGAGAGTTAAACTGCAAAGGCTAAAAAAAAAAAAAAGATTTGGTGGTAACAGGTGCAGCTGACAGACTGGATATGAAGGGGAAGTAGGTGAGTCTCTCATCCCTTTTCACCTGTGACCTTTCTTCTAAGATTAAAAATCTGCCTTTAAACAACACTTTACTTAGTCTTTCTAGAAGGTGATAGAAATGTAGACATGAAAATAAATAATCCATGTTCTTAAGAAGCTATTGTCTAATTCTGTGTTATGATTTTGCAGAGTGATTTTGAAAAGAGGGTTATAAAAATATAAATAAGTCCTATGAATTTCTGTTATTTAACCAGTATACTACATCTCTCACTAAAGAACTTTAAGCCACAAATAACCCTCCATCTACTTTCATTGTACAGGGTAGAACACAGTACTTGGATTTTTAAGAATTTCAGACTTTCAATTCCCTTTTCGAAATTTCTTTTCTAAACCAAATACATAAATTCCATCCTTTTACCAGGTAAAGCAAAATAGTTTTCAATATCAAACCAAAATGATCCAGCAATTTAAAAAAGTTATAATTTCTCTTAATAGATGTTTAAAAATCACAGTGAATATTTTATGTAAAAACATGACCAATCATCCTTTTACTTCTCTCTTTCTCTCTCTCTCTCTCTCTCTCTCTCTCTCTCTCTCTCTCTCTCTCTCACACA